AAAGTCATTGCAAAAAACATTGCTAGATGTGAAACACATGCCATGACCAGCCTACCTTTAACACAGAAACTTTCAAAGAATTATATAGTGTGAATTCCAAAATGATTCAATTTTTAGTATGAAAATCCTTTGGATTTAATGAAATTTTCCTTTTTTTCACCTTCTGGAGGAATCCATAAACTAGACAGGGGCTCTGCTTCTAGCCTTCTAACGTGACACCCATTTCTCTGTGCTTCCTAGTGAAAGTGCTTGGGAAGCAGGCTGAAAGCCCAGAAAATGGGGAAGGGGAAACAATTCTTTTTTCCCCAAAAGATGACACCAAACTGCTGTCTTTGCATAACTGCTGTCTTTGCATCCTATAAAAGAAGGGACACTCACAACCCTCTTAGATCCCCTCCTTAAAACGATTTCTTCTTTGCAGCAGGCAGAGTAGGTACTGGCAGGGAAGGACAAGCCCTTGGCATGGAAAGAGCTTCTGTGTAGGATCTGGGATGCTTCACGTGAGAAAAGACTGCTCCGTGCTCTCTCACTCCCAACCCCCCAGCTCTCCCCTTCTTGTGAGTAAATAACTTGCATGTTTGTGGCTTGAAAATGGTCGAGTAATTCATTCTTGGCCAAGTAAAAATGAGAGAAGTATTCTGGATTAGTCCTAAACTGAAGAAACCAACATTCTAGTATCATTTATATACTAATCATCTAACCAGGGTTTTATAGAGTTGTTACAGAAAGCAAACAGCTGGCTGCAGTTCAGAGGGCTTCTGTGAAAGCCCTCTCAGCAGTGCTATGCACCACGGTGAAATTCCATTCTCCATCCTCATTATGAGGTTTCAGACATCTGAAGTTCGCAGATTATTTATGATCTAAAGTAAAACTATAGTCTCAAAAAAAATGAGCCTTCAACAGCAGTCTGTTCATTTAAATCTTAATCTGATATAGAAGATATCAGATGACACAGACAAAGCCTCAGAAGGAGTGATGATACAGGATCCAGAAATCGTTTCCCCCTTTGTTGTGGTTAGGAAAGATGATTTCTGCTCAGTAACTCAGCCACCGAGCGGTGACAGAGAGCGTCGGCAGCTCAGATCGACCCACCGCGGTGGTGCCTCGCAGTCGGGACTTCTTGGTGATGTGCTGCTTCTTATATTGGCAGTAGCAGTTTTGATTTTCCAGTTAACATGGGTTCCTGACGCAACTTTCTCACTCACGATATTAATTGTTCCCCGGTAACAAGGCCAAAATTGAATTGTTTCCACGACAAATTCCCCCACCCCTGCGATTACACACCACAGCTGGGACTGTAATTTCAYAGCCACCAAACAGCAGAGTCAGCCCCAGTGGTTACGAGCTCGGCGCTGCGGGCTCCATTCTCACAGCAATATCCGCGCCCGGCCCCGGGCTCTGCGATGCCATGGCAGGGACTCCGGCCGCGCGTCGTGCAGGCCCTCCAGGAAAGCTGGCCCTGCCGGGAGCTGCAGCGGGCCCAGCAGGGCCCATCCACCCTCCGAGAGGATCGGGGGATGATCCTTCTCCTCAGGATTTCCTCACAGCTCGCTCTGCGGTCACAGACGCGCTCCCGTCGCTCTGCGACGCGGGATCACCACGTCTCCGAGTCATGCAGCCTTCAAACCGAGCCAGGCGCGGCCTGAAACGCTCGTGACGCCCAACACGYCGCCGTGGCCTAAACCGGAGCGGTTTAGACACCGCGGTTCAACAGACTTGGAGCTAGGACACACGCTCCTGCAGCGGGAGGAATGGCCATGCTTCAATTCGCCTGGAATGGCTGAAGAAACGAATCCCCCTGGGCCCACTGGAAATCCACAGATGTGGAAAGAGGCCGTCCCTAAGGATGAGGGACCTCTCGGTACACAGGAGCCTAGCTGGTAACAGCAGCAGTTGCTAGAGTCCATCGATGGGAGCAGAAGGAGAAAATTCAAAGGGAAAGCCTTTCTTAGGAAACTGAAGTGAGAGATGTGCAAGAAAGTGCTATAAACAGGTCTCTAAAAGTAAACGCAAGTCTAGAAAAGGTGTTCAGCAGGCCTTGCTTCCTCCAGTCTTGCCCTCAGTTCAGCCACCTCCGCTCCTCCTGCCCACCACGCAGCAGCTGCTATTGCAGTCTATAGCCTATAGCCACCCCACGTCTTCCATACGTGACGTCTAACCCGGCACTGCCCCAGCCTTTGCATGCTCTCCTAAGAGAGGCACAGCACCATAACTATCTAAAGCAAAATCAAAAGTGGTGTCGTGCTATATTAAAAAGGATTATTTGGCAGTGAATTTTACAAAGTTTTYCATTTTCTCTCAGATGAGACCACTTTAGCTTTCATCACAGGATGTCAGAAAACCAAATTTCTACAGAAGTACTTAAGAGTTTTTCCTCTTTGATGGTATTTGTCTTTCCTCATGACTATCTAGATGTTCTCTGTAGCCACATCACTAACTTTACCCCCCTAGGAAGGGAAGCAAAACACTGCAGTTCTGACCAATGATGAGTAATAAAGGAACTTTCAGCATTTTTTGGAACAGCTCTACGCTACATTTCCTTGTAATCGTCATCTCAGGAGAAACTGTGGTAATATGTCCTGCAGTGCCACCAAGCGTCAACATTTCAGAAGACCATGCCACATGCACAGGCTTTTCCCCCTGTTGTCACCGGGCAGCAGAGCGGCCCAAAAGAGCAGATCCCATCCCTGGTACCAAACCCAGGACGCTTAGCTAAGAGCAGTCTTTTAAATGTATCCTGACAAACTTATGACCTCCGCTGGGAGCAGGGACCAAGTCCCAAAATTGTAACTTGGCTCTTTCTCACACACACACTCCCTGTTTTTTGGGACCGTGCTCTCTGACAGAGTTATATTCCCCTTTCCCCTCGCTTCTCCTGAACATGTGACTCCTTATTCCTTTCCTGATGGTCACCCAACCTCAAAAAGGAGAGGTCAAAATGTGCTTTATACGACTGGCATGTGGTTAAGACTCTCTCCTGGACTGTATGTCACAAATCCATTTGGTGAAGGGAGGCAACTCCTCTCCGTTTTCATTTCCTGAAGAGTCTGATCAGCGTCTGTCCCACCTCCTTATCGCCTTCAGGCTGCAGGGAAGAAGCTCCCAACGCYCAGGCAGACATTTAGCAACTTCCACACTGTTAAGAGGCTTGAACTACACCCTGAAAGGGAATCAACCTTGTTCTCGAAAGACAGGACCTCAAAGGTGACATTTGGGTGATTTTTGCTTATGCCCACAATGGGCATAACATATGTATCTTAGATGCATAAACAGGCAAATCTTCCTGYCTCTGAGTAAAGACCAGATTTAACCTCTGCCATTATAAAACACATATGTTGTGCAGGAGGAGGAGACATTCACATCCTAAGGCTGTTTTCAGGGCTAGGCTTTCAGGGTCACTGTAATGTGAAGCAACTCTACTCTCAAAGGCACGAGCGGAGAACCTCAGGAGCTCACATTTAGTGTGCGTAAGGATGAGATAAGAACACATGCTCACTGGCTGTTACCCTCATGTATTTTTCATTTCTCTGTTTTCTAAAGAGAAGCCCCTCTCCCCAAACTTCTGTTACACAAAACATAAAGACATGAAAGTATCTTTCTGTAAACAGATGGGGCGTACTGAAGAAATTTCTTACTGCTCAAAATAGAGAGGAAAAGAAGCCAGGTTAAGATTTCTTGTACATTACCACTGATTAGAACTGGCAGGTTATTCCAGCCAGTCTGCACAGTGACTCCTATTCACTCCTGAAGCCAAAAACGGGTGCAGACTTCAGTCCAACCCAAGTAACTCATTTCTCTCCCTGTTTCAAAGCAATCCATCAATTCCCCCCCTTCACTTCCTCTCGCTTCTTGTAGGCATCAACCTGAAGATGTTGCCACAACAAAGCAGCACTTAGAGCACTCTTCCCCAGGGCTTCTGCTCTCCCATGTGGATTTGTGGGCTCTGAAAGTTCCCTCCTTCCTTCTCCCCCTTTTTTTAATCAAGGCTATTTTCAGCTAGTGAGAATCAAGTGAGAATCAAAACCCATCATTGATAAAACTGTTGCAGAACAAAGATTGAAAACATAAGCCATTTTGACTAAAAGTTCAGAATAAACAGCAAAAAAAAAAAAAAAGAGAAAAGTTTTAATTATATTACAACTATCCCATGATTTTGATTTTTTCTTTTTTTTCTCTCTCAAGGCTCTATTGTTTAATCTTGTTTATTTTCTAAAACCTACAGTCCTCAAAAAAATGAATTTGCAAAAAAAAAAAAAAGACATTTTAAGAAGTAAATCTAAAGTCTGAGTGATGAATCTTTGACACAAAATATGCACCCAAGTGGCTGAAAGCCAAAGTCTGTAAATGGACTTTGTGACATAAAAATGTATCCCTCCTGCTGCGAGTGCCTTGGACACGCAGATTCCTTCCAATACCTCAGGCAATTCAGATCTTGGTCGCATCAAGSTACCATATGTCAGAAGCCATTTACCACTTAATTAGGTCTCTATGCCACAGAGTCACTCTCCCATTTCTAATCTATCACTAAATGCCTGCTCTTCAGCAATGATTCCCACCATTTATTTGCCTCAGAGCTCCTCCATTCTCATGGATAAMGAGGAATTAAGAGTGTCAAGTATGTATAAAGAAGAAATGAACCTGTGTGTGAGCACAAAATTAGCATACAGCTAGTGCATAGGATCTTCTTAGGTATTCAGACTGGTGAAGGAAACTGATTTCTCCACTCCATTTAAAGATTAACTGTAGCAATTCTGGACAACCAGCACTCTTCTCAGAAAGCCACGTAATCTCATACGTGTGCAAAACATGGTATGGGAAGGATGTCAAGTTTTTACTTTAAAATACATTTTTAAAAAAAGATAGACATTAAGAAAATCTGGACATCTGCTCTGGAAATTTTACTTTAAAGGAAAGAGCACTTGCAGATGACCTCCATGTTGAGCTCAGTTCTTCAGCAAACATTTCGCTGTTGGTTTTTCACTGAGTGGCGCTTCTGAGAACTAGCCCGATTCAAAGAAGTCCCAAATGGACTTGGCAATGGGCCTCAATGAGCCCTTTGATTCGTCTGTGCTCCTGTCAGCACTGGGCCCTTCCTCTCCAACAGCCCTCTGACCTGTAGTCTCTTCATCTGCTTCTTTATCCCAATCTCCCCCCTGCTGAAGAGAAGCTTTTGCCTGATCTTTTAGGTCCTTCTTCTGAGTTATTTCCAATTCTCCAGAGAATATATTGCCAAGTGGCCCACACTCTTCCTTGATATTTTTCTGAATTTGCACCTTTTCCTCGGGAAGGTTTATTTCGGGTCTTTCCCAGTGCACGGAGACTTTCTTCTTCAAGTTCCCTTGTCTTGCAACGTACTGTTTTGGGGATCTCTCCAGTTGCTCCAGGGCTTTCCGAGCCCTCTCTTGTTCTTCCAGAGCTTTCTTCTGAACTTCCTTTTGCTCATTTAGGAATTCTTTCTGAGCTCTCTCAAGTTCTTCTAGGGCCTTTTTTCGTGCTCTCTCCAGCTCTTCCAAGATTTCTTGAGCTTTCTTTTGTTCCTGTAGGACCTCATTCTTAGCTCTCTCTTGGTCCTCCAAGGCTTGTTGCTGTGTTCTGGCAAGTTCTTCCAGGGTTTCCTGTGCTCGCTCTCGCTCTCTGGCAGCCCTCATTTGAGCTCCCTCCTGCTGCTCCACTGCTGTTCTTTGCAATCTCTGCAGTTCCTCTAGAGCCTTCTGAGCTCTCCTCTGCTCTTCCAGTGCAGCCCTCTGAGCTCTTTCTTGCTCTCGTAGAGCCTCATTATGAGCAGCCTCCAGTTCTTCCAGAGCGTTTTTATGAGCCATCTCCAGCTCTGCCAGGATAGTTTTCTGAGTTCTTACTATTTCCTCTAGCGTTTTCTCAGCTCTCTCTTTTTCCTGCAAGAGTTTCTTCTGAGTTCTCTCCTGCTCTTCCCTGGCTTGCTTCTGAATTTTTATCAGTTCTACTAGAGCCCGGTGTTGGGCTTTCTCCAGGTCCTGTAGAGCCTTCAACTGGTTTCTCTCTTGTTCTTCTAAAAATTTCTTCTGTGCCCTTTCCTGTCGCTCAACAACTTTCCACAGAGCTTTCTCCTCTTCTTCTAGCCCCATCTGCTGAGTTTTAAACTGTTCTTCCAACTCCACCTGCAAAGCCATCAACTGTTGCTCAAGCTCAAGGTGCTGCACTGCTTCCTGCAGYGCCTCTTGGACTAGGTGCCCTTGTCGACCCAGCGTCGCCTGCACTGTGCTCTCCCGTTCAGCTAATGTCTTCTGCTTGCCTTGTATCTGTTCTTTCTCCATGGCTTCTTCCCAAGATTTGTCCTTCTCCTGAGAGCTGTCATATTCCTCCAAGGCCACTGTATTAATTCTTTCTGTAACTTCAGGGGCTTTCTTAGTTCTTATACCTGGATTGTTTGGTCCTTTCTTCATCTGCTCTGTTATATCCACAAGGTTATCTTCATTTTGCTTTCTTTTCTGGACATTTCTCTGAACATCTGTTAGCATGAAATTGGTGTCTTCAGCATAATCCAGCTGGGAAGCCAGTTCAAGGTCTTTGGCAGCCTTGTTCCAGCGGCCCAAGAGCTGGAATGCCTTCCCTCGGCACTGGTAGGGCTGTGGAGAGTTAGGGTTGATTTTTATAGCTTTGTCACAGTCCCTAATGGCAGCTTTGGGTTTCCGCAACTTCACGTAGACACTGGCCCGGTTTACGTACAGGACAGCAAGTTGTGGGTTCAGTCTGATAGCGTCAGTAAGCAAGTCAACAGCTTTATGAAGTTCACCTGCTCCCAGTGCATGAAAGGCTTCCCTTTTCTTCTCATTGGCCTGCTTCATCATATTGTTAGTTATCTTCAGGTTCTCGTCTCCCATTTCCTGAAGATCTTCATCCTCTTCATTTTCATCATGGAGCTCCCTATCTTCACTCTTCGGTTCTCCACTGCGCTTTTCCTCTCTTTCAACTGTATGTGAAGCTCCCAGTGGATGGTTTTTTGGCTCTTCAGATTCCCTAAAGCAATCATTATCCGGTTCCTGGAAGGTCCAAAAGTGAACCTGTTTGTGCCTTTGGAGATTCTGGAGGTGACTTTTCCCTTCTTGAGAAATCAGAGGCTGATCCCTCTCTTCTTCTGCCATGGATTTGCTCATCCTTGGCAATCCATCCATTGATTCCGTTGCCTCTTGCTCTTCCTCATACTTTCTTTGCTGTTCAGTAGTTTTCTGGACTCTTCTCTGAGCCTCCTTCAACATCTCATTGGTATCCTCATCGTAATCCAGCTGGCAAGCCAATGCAAAGTCCTTGGCTGCCTGCTTCCAGTGTCCCAGGAGCCAATACGCCTTCCCTCTCCATTTGTAGGGCTGTGCAGAATCTGGGTTGATTTCTGTGGCTTTGTTACAGTCTCTGATGGCAGCATTTGGCTTCCGCAGCCGCACAAAGACACTGGCCCGGTTGGCATACAGAGTAGAAAACCGAGGATTCAGTTTGATGGCATCAGTAAAGAGCTGAATAGCTCTTCGAAATTCGCCTCTTCTTACTGCATCAAAAGCCTCATTCTTCTTTTCATCCGCCTGCTTCATCATGTCACTAGTTACCTTCAGGTTCTCATCTCCCATCTCTGGGAGCTCATCTTCTTCTGGTTCAACCACCCTTGCATTATCTATCTCCAGCTCACTCTCAGCAATCTCGGTCTCTTCACTGGCCTCTCCCTCCCAATCAAGTTTCGCCTGCCCCTCAGAATCCAATTTACAAGCCAGGGAAATGTTACAGGCTGCTTCTTTTAATTGTCCCAAAAGCTGAAGGGCTTTTCCTCGGAATTTGTAGGCCTTTGCTGAATTAGGATCRAGTTCAATAGCTCTGTCAAGGTCACTAATGGCCATACTTGGCTTTTGCAGCTGCAAGAAGACGCTGGCTCTGTTAATGTATGAGCTGGCAAGGTATGGATTCAGCTTGATGACGCCAGAGAGTAAATCAATTGCTCTCTGATTTTCACCTTTAGCTAGGAAATTAAAGGCCTCTGTTGTTTTCTCAGTAATTTGCCCCATTGTCTCGTCTGAGTTTTGCCCCCCTTTTTCCTGTGGATTATATGTTTGGGACTCAGTTATCTCCTCTTCAGCACATTCCAAACCATGCTCCTCCTCCTCCTTCTCCTCCTTCTCCTCCTCCTCAGATTTTCCAGGGAGCTGTTCCGTTGCCATAACTAGCTCCTTTCCATCTGTGTTGCTTATAGTAGATGGTATGTAATTCTCTACACTTCCTATGGATTCTCGGAGAAAGCGACGATCCTCAGAACTTAGGAAAGGTTGGTTAAATTGTGCCAAGTTCTGATCCCCCCTATAAATTTTCCTTGAATGCATGGTGCTCTGGCCCAGAAAGGAGGACACGGCACAGGATTTGWTGTCATGGAAGGCCAAGGAAGCAGCCTCAGAAGAGAGATGGCTTACCCAGAGAGAGCTTTGGTTACCGGGCTAGTGCCAGGGATACATGGCAAACTTCCCTCTTCCTCTTCCTTCCATTGTTGTGCTACTGGATCTACTTACAGGGTAAAGGCCAGTGGCAGGGTGACAGTGACTTCATAAACCATAAACAGGTTTTGTCACAATATAGGAATATTGTGTCATCACTGGAATCCTGAGGTGGGCTTTTCAAGTTCTATGTTGCAGTAAGTAGAAGTTACAGCATCACAAAATGGTAAAGGTTGGAACGGACCTCTAGAGATCATCTAGTCCCACCCCACTGCTCGAGCAGGGACACCCAGAGCACGAGGCACAGGGTGGCATCTAGGTGGGTTTGGAAGATCTCCAGAGGAGGAGATTCCACAACCTCCCTGGGCAGCCTGTTCCARGGYTCTGTCACYCTCACAGTRAAGAAGTTCCTCCTCACATGGAGATGGAACTGCCTGTGTTTCARCTTGTACCCATTGCCCCTTGTCCTGTTACTGGCCACCACTGGGAAGAGTTTGGCCCCTTCCTCCCTACATTCCCCCCTCAGGTGTTTGTACATGTTGATCAGATCCCCTCTCAGCCTTCTCTCCTCCAGGCTAAACAGGCCCAACTCACTCAGTCTTTCCTCRTATGAAAGATGTYCCAGTCCCWTAATCATCTTTTTCACTCTCTGCTRGACCCTCTCTAGAAGCTCCACATCCCTSTTATACTGGGGAGCCCAGAACTKSCCCCAATACCCCAGGTGYGGCCTCACCAGAGCTGAGKAGAGGGGCAGGATCCCCTCCCTCGACCTGCTGGCAACACTCCTCCTGATGCAGCCAGGACCCCATTGGCCTGGGGTTATTCCTCCCYAGGCGCAGGACCCTTGTCTTTGTCGAAGGGTTGTCCTTGCACTTGTCCTTGTTGAACCTCATGAGGTTCCTCTCTGCCCGACTCTCCAACCTGTCCAGGTCCCTCTGAATGGCAGCACAGCCCTCCGGAGTGTCGGCCACTCCACCCAGCTTGGTATCATCTGCAAAGTCCCCATAGCAGCTCTTCCTCTTCAGTTTGTTTCAYATCTTCTGTGTCAGAGAGGCGCGACTATGTATGTGTGCATGTGTGTGTTTTTTGTTATGAAGACATAGTTTTTCTTAGGTGTAACCAACACGAACACAGTAATAGCTGTCTAACAATGTTATTTGGTCAAATATTTTCCCCAGTGAATGAAAAATGAAAACGAAATAGCTTATCCATAAACGTAGCATGCCTACGGGAAATGAGAAGACCAAAAACCACACAGCACAGTTGCATGGGTACCCTTTGTCAGGACATGCTGCAAAATTTTGAAAAAATGCCTTTTTTGTACGAGTCTATACATTTGCTTCTTAGGAACATCTTTACAATACCAAAGGTCCCTGGAAGCACAATTTAGCTGCATCCAGAAAAGCCAAAAACTCTCCTTGGCAGTAAGACAAATCCCAGACTTACTTAAAGGATTCTCAAGCTGAGACCATGAATATCCTTACTTAATTTTTTCATATTAATTGGGCCATTGAGCCTCCTTTCTAGTTGAGCCTTCCAGGTTCCTGTTAATTCCTGAAGTGGGTTTTGCTCTAAGGCACCCCACAGGTTCTAGCAGGCTGGGTTGGACTGTGCAATGCTAAAGGCAGGCACGGACTCRTAGGGATACATGGTTTTGCAACACTATTTTATGCTCCCTTTCAGGCAAAAAAAAATGTTGATTCTTTTTTCATAGTTTCTAAGAAAAGAAGTCTGTTTACTCCTATTAACTTCAGAAGCCCAATATCTTGTCAGTGCTAATCAACACTTCCTCCCTGCTGCTGCTCCTTCCTTGTTGTCCTTTCCTCTGATTTCTTGATGTTACTTTTTCCCTTTTCTAGAACATAAAGTCCTAGAATCCTCAAGCCCTGTTTAGCTTCACTCCCCACAGAACCAYACATTAAGTCCATACATCTTATCCTGGTTTGAAAAGAAAAGCACAGGGACTCGAGGCATACATTGCATTCGTATGCCTTGACTACCCTTCCTAAGTCAGCCAGCAAGCTAACTTGGAATTATGTTTGTACAGCCTCTGCAAAATTGGTCACTGCATAGAAGGCAAAAAATTAACAAATCAAGTACAGTAATGAGTGGACCCAAGAATTAATGCTGTTGCAACAGAGCTGTTTTGGACCTGCCACAYGAGCAGGATTGAAATAAGGAACAACCACACCAAAAACGAGGCTGGGGCTGCCAGGGAGCGTGCGGGGAGCGTGGCTCTGCCGTCCAGCGGGAGAAGCGGCTCCCGGAGCTGCCCCCTGCTCCTCTGCGCTCGGACAACGCAACCCCCTTTGTACTCATTCAGCTATTGCATGGAAAAGTGCACTGCAAATTCCGGAAAAGAGAATTTCTGCCCATGCTGCAGCTTTTTGAGGAACACTTAAATGCTTTCTCTGCACGGGGAGATTCTACCGTCTCTTCTGGACTTGCCTGTTACATTAAATATCAACAAAAAGAGATGATGCTTTTTCTGGTATATTTTCAAAAAAAAATGCTGTTCAGTTTTCACTGGTTTCAACTGGCACTCAATTATAAMGACAAACTTATCAGATAAAAACAGATTTCAAATTTCATTTTGTTTTCCTATCAGTTGTTTTTCTAACTCAAAGCCCGCCCAGGCTCCAGTCTGCCTCTCAGGTATTATTTTCTTTTTTATCCAGAGGTTAATGATAACGATCAGGCACTAAGAATTCTAAGCTAATATGAAATACATATTTATGATCCCAGGCAAACTCTCCTGGGCTGACACAGCCACTGAAAGCTTAAATCAGGGGTGAAAGCTGCTCACCTTTCCCACAGACTATGGCTGTGTGAAAAAGCAGGGAGGCACAGGCACCTTTGCTGCCTTCCRAGACCCCAAATAACTGATATTATTCCCTTTCCTGCAATGTCTTTGCGCTGCTACTTCCCCCAGCATCAGAAACTCGGCACGCAGCTTGGCTAGCAAAGTGAGGGGGGCTCCAAAGGGCTACAGGTTTTGGTAGAGAGATGTCACACAAATGCCACTCAGTTGTACGTGCACTTCAAGTCTGCTGGAGACTAAACATTTCCTGACAAAGTTCSCCAAGAATTTAAGTTCTCACCAGCAGCTGAAGGTACAAACTTGGGCCCTGACAGGGCCAGGCTACTAGGCTGACAGGTCAGGTCTAATACAGTTACAAACCAGGGGGGGATTCCTTTTTCCCTTCTGAGCACTRCTCCAGGCGCTCACACTGGAACGATTATGCTTACCTTAGGCTACAAATACTCAGAATTACAGTCACCGGGATGTTGGCAAAGGAGGGATGCAAACAGGAGGCCTGAAGACAACCTGAGAATCTGCATCCTGCTCCAGGGGTGGAGAGATGAGGCTCACGGCTCGCACCTCCTCGGCTGTGTGGATCTCTGCACCTCCTCGGTTGTGCCCATCTCTGCCCCCTTTCCTTTCAGCAACACAGCCCAGGCAACAACAGATGCTGAGACAGGAGCACAAACCATGCGTGCGAATCAGATACCTGAAACTGCCTGAAACTGGTGAGGCTGGGAGCAAATTAGCAACGGCAGGGCAACCACCACCCAGTAGCCACAGGGTTTTGCTAGACACCAGGACACACAGAGTTAGGTGTTACAGCATCTAATCCCTGTGAAATTCAGCCTCGTGAAAGCAGTGGGTATCCAGTGATGCAGGCCTGAAAAAACCCTCTGTCAAACACACTGATCACTCAAGATTTGCTCTTTTACTTTGACAAACAGTAGCAATGAGCCCCTGACGGAATTACGACTTTGCAGTTCACAGCTGCCTTTACTTATGTTCTATAAAATGTCACCCACATCTGCTGCCGTAGCGAAATGGAGCCTGCTCGTACTGCAAGGTGATTCTTAAGCTCAGACGTAAACAAACAAAAATTGTTTCCAAACAGTGGCATAACAGGTCATAAAGCAGAAATAATCCTCACTATTTTAAAATCATATAGGATATCAATCCACTTTTATATATATATATATATGATGTGGTGCATATGAGAAAATTTTAGATTTCCAAATGTATTTCCTATGTGTCTCTGTTTAAATATGTTAAAAGTTTCAAGTAATTTCTGTGTCTTTGCCTGTGCTTCCATGCCAGGTTCCTCTGCTTCTACGCCTGGTCCTCAGAAGGGTGGCTGCTCCTGCCCACGCAGAGCCAGCACGACCCACAGATGAACAGTATATGGACACTGAATTAAAGCCTCTTCTCTGAAACAGAAGCTGCTCCTCTGATACGGGGAGATGGCAAAAGGCAACTACAAAACTGTGCCCTGGCACCACAGCTAGTGCGGCAGCCACGCGGCCGAGGCAAGGAAGAAATCACTGCAAGAAGATCTTTAAAAGGCGGGTCTTTTAAAACCAAAATTTTCTGGGCTAAAAAAAAATGAGAGAAAAACTACAGATGGTTTAATATGCAGAGAACCTGTCTGGGAAAGAGCTGGTTGTTGGCAACGTGGCATCCTGAAACTGTCTTATGAGAGGACATGTAGGGATTGCTACACAGGCCCCATATTAYTCAAGTCCTGGCAAGCTCCACAGCCTGTTCAAGTCCCATCCGTCCAGGAAAGCTTCACAGAGATTGTTTATTGGATTTGATTGATACATCATATCAGCTGGCCCATCTACTCCTGTCAAGCTCTAAGCCGTGGGGAAAGAGCAGAAAAATGAATCTTGGATTTTCAGTGTACCATACTTTACATTTATCTTAAAAG